AGGAACACTGAATGCAGCCTTACAACCAACAAAAACTGATTGTTCATCTAACTCAGGATTGTTTACTCTGTTGGCAGCAGTCCAGAGACTTCTTTTCTATAATGCCTGATCCTTTTTAAATTCAGACACCTGGGATTGGACCCACAACCTTTTGCATGCTAAGCATGTTCTCTACTATGCTGAGCTATGATCCTTTCCTGATCCTATCAGAGATATTTACATGTGTTAATTACTCAGGTACTTAGATATCCTATGCAAAGATAGGTGTCCTATCTGAAAATTCTGCATATTGCAACTGACAATTCTTCTAACACATATTTGGGCTAATTAATATTGATAAAAAGCTTACATCGGGATATTTTTCTAGATAAAATAAATGGGGATTCTCATGGCATAGCGGGGTGGGCGTGGGCAGAGAAAAAAATGGCCAGCATCCATGAGGTCATGCAAATGAATCATGATTAATACTTCATTTCTGCTTCAAAGATTTTACTACCTGTTTTGTTTGAGATACTGTAATGGCAAGTAGCTCTCAATACATTTGATTTCACTAGGATACTCAAGCAGTGGTGTAACAGAACCATGGCTTGTAGGGTCAACACCCTGTCGCTTTCTAAATAGTAAGGACTATGATGGCAACTGCCACTGCCCCTTCCCCACCCTGATGCTTCCCTGTTCCCTTTAAACTTAGCTGAAATCCTCAAAATAGCTGATAAGGAAATTTATTATCCTAGGAATAATATATTATTGCAAGCTCCCCCTATCGAAGTGCAAAGTTTATTAGGGTGGCATGGTTTTGAATGGGCAGTTCAGAACCATTGTCTTCGCAAAAGACCTGCTTACCATTTGTTGATATGTGCAGCTCCAACTCCCTGCAGTTCTGTACTATCAATATTCTTTATGAGGAGATACCTTAGATGCCTGCACTTCCACATTTACCACTACACCACTGTGTACATTGTGGTGGTGTGGAGCACAACCTACCCTGACCTTTCTCTGTTCATTCAGCTATCACTGAAGCTGTAGGAAGAGCACAGAGGGTGGCATCCACATGCCTCGGCTTCCCACCTTGCAATCTGCACGCTTTTCCAAAAGTTAATACCTATTCTCAATTGAGCTGGTTGAAAGAAGGGTGAGGCACACCTCAACACATCTCAGAATTGGACTGCTGGTACTGGACATGATGGCATTACACTGAAAGCAATGCAGCAAAGTTTACTCACGTGTTGGTAAAAAAAAGGACAGTTTTTACTTATACATATGAATGGCTCTGTCATTAGGCAGGATGAAGCAATCACCTCAGAGGCAGATGTATGAGCAAAAGTGGCTGCCCCCAACTTTTCCTCTAAGTCTCAGATTACCTCTTTCTTGGAGGAAAAAGATAGTAAGTGCCACACAGATGTCCAGCATCCCTTAAACTTGCCTGGTTGACATGAGACATGTTGGAAGACCCAAATCCATCCCTCCTAATTTTGCTTAATGAGAGTGTAGCAGTGATCTTGGGCTGGCATAGCAAATCAACAATCTATATGGCAATTCCAGAAATGGGAGCCACCCAAACAAAAAGTATATCTTTGAAACTGGGCCTCAGATCAGCACCATATTTGGCACAGTTGTAGTAGACAGTTAGCTCTTGCTCTGTGCCAATGTTGGGGATGTTTGCGCAAAGAGTTTTTGAGCTATGATTTTTCAAAAATAAAATGCCCTTCATTCCAAAATAGGCAACCCTAAATGTTCCCAAATTTAAAATAACTCACATACATTGAAAAGACCAATTTCGCTTATCATGAAAGAGAAGGGTTGAGTCCACCTGCTTTTTTATTTGGAAAGAACCAAGGCTGCAGGAGCTGAAACAATGGTCCTCAAGAAAAGACTTTTAAAAGGGAGAAACACTGAGCATGCATCAAACATGCTTCCCAGCAAGAACTTTGCAAAGTAGATACATTGTTACAGCTTTGTAGGCATGGAAAGGAGGTATTTGGCATGCTTAGAGCCATTAAAGGTCATAGAAATAGAGTGAAAAGACAGGTTTTCTTTCACGAGTAAAAATAGTAGACTTGTTTTAAAGAAAGTAATGGAGTGACAGTTTTCCAAAAAGGCGAACATTTTGCCATATATTTCCAAGAGATTAGCATACAAATTTGTAAGGCATACTTCTACATTACAAAACCATAGAGAAGTTGTGTTTGTTCCAGCCCTGAGTTCTTTCAGTAAATATTATCTCAGGATTTCTGAGACTAGGCTCCTGACACCTGTCTTCAAAGGGGAAATCAGCTCCTCTAGCATCCCCAGGTCAAGGGCAATCTGAAGTTTGAACCTGTCAATCAGGACTCAATTGAATTTTTAACTTGTTTCTGTTCAAACAGGGATTCATGCTTGCAAAGGGATTCTGTGTCTGGTTGAAAAAAATGAAAATATATTTTAAAAATAATAGAGAGCAAAAATTCAGAAGCTCACTCACTTAAGATGTGAAATTACTGTTTTTTGCTTTCTGCCTAGGGAATGGTCTTACTCAGTGATAGCAGACTTTTTTTGGCTGTATCCTGTAGTAGTCTCAACCATTCCACCC